TGCTTCTCAAAGAAACCCTGGCACTCATTCCATTTTTTCATAATGGATTGTCTCCCATCACCGCTAACCTCCTCCCTGTCTTCCTCTTCCTCAGTGGAATCTTCCTCAGCAAGTGCCTTCTGCTGCTCACTCTGGAGTACAGCAAGTTCTTCTGTCATCGGCTCCTCTATGTCTTCCCTGCACGAACGCGACTGTGATCATAGCCATCTCCCCACTCGGGTGTGAGATGGCCGAGATTGTGCCTGTCTTTCCTGCAGGAGCGCGCCCGTGATCACACACGCCTTCCCTGCATGAACGCAACAGCGATCGTGGCCATCTCTCCACTCGGGAGGTGGGGAGATGGGTGTGATCTTGGTTGCCACCCAATGCGGAATTTGCGACCCAAGTCAAAATTTTCATGAAATTTTTGTTTGTGACCCGATTTGGTTGTGAGCTGAGGCACTACTGTATAGTAGACTGACTGAAATTAATTAGACTTAAATTACGACAGGAGTACAAAGGTTGTTTTCCAAAGGGCAACAATTACTCATGACTAGCTGAAGCTGCATTCATTTCACTGGGTTTACATATTCAGGACTAACTTAAGATAGTACCAAGTAATCGAAACATGTCAGTACAGAAACAAAATAGGCATTACAAATGCTATATCAGAATACATCAATGCACAGTTTTTCTCAAGGACACTGTATGTCTTCATGCAGTTATTTGATAAAGACTCAGCAAAGTCAAAATAGAAATTTAATATTATCTGTAGTTATTGGAATTTGAGAAATGAATTTGTTTTGTATTTTAACCTATGTATTGATGTATTCTGATATAGTATGTGTAATGGATATTTCAATTTTGTATTGACATAAACCATATTAAAACAGATTCCTTCCTTTTATTAGATTAGATGTGATGTACTTTCATAAATAAAGAACTACGATGTAGTGGTAAAATACTGTAGCATGGCATGAAAGGGAGAATTAGTGTCTTTCTTCACTTTGTAGTAGGCAACCATAGAATATTTCAAAACTAACTATACTGTTTTGTATTGTTTGACTCTAACATACATTTACGATGTGGTCATTTGTGTTCATCTGAGTTCAGTAGATCAAACAAAATGGTCTGCCACAAAATGGGATCAGAAGCATTCAGACTCCTCCCTATGCAATGAAGGCCAGAGGAAGTAGAAAGTGAATCAGTGAGCCTGAGGCTTATGCCTTGTTTGTTCCCATAACACCAAACTGTATAATAGACGATGAATAAGTCATGCGAGTAAGCTCTGAACCAGAAGAGGAACATTAATGTGGATAAAGTGGAACATTGCAATAGATGGGCTAAAGGTGAAGAGTATAGGTGTTCTTCTGAAATGAAGGATAGCACAAACAAGAAAGAAAATCTAAAATGAGGGCAGTCAGAGCAAAGCTGGCCCTTCTATAAAGCAGGGTAATGAGCTACTTATTCTGGCTGACTGAAAGTAAGAGTGGCAGCTGGTGTTGGAACTGCTGGTTTGGAGAGCCCTACTCTCCAGGTTTCAGGTTCCCCCTCACCACCTCCTTCCATAGTTCCAAGCCCACAGTGCCAGCTTAAAACTGTCCATATGCTAACAGTCTGCTGCCAGCCTGAGCACATGTGAGTGAGATGATTTGCATGTACAGTGCCTCTCTTTGTATGGGAGTATGTGTCTGTGTCTGCATGAATGAGAGCGTGTTTGTTTTCTTGTGTCTTCTGCATATGAGTATTTCTCGGGATGGGGAGAATATGCATCTTTCAAATGAGCAATATTTTCTGGAACGTTGTGTATGTGTGTATTCAACTCTGTTATCAAGTTCTACATATATAAGTTCTAAAATGAGTACTGCACACATTTAGTTCCTGTTTCTGGTTGTGTTGTTATGTTTAAGAATGCTTCGCTATGGATATACTGGCTGGCTTTTGAAAATCATCTTTAATATCATATACTGATGTTTTAATATCACTATTATAATATGGAATTGAATACTGTACTATACTGTTAATTCTGCCAAACATAGTTTGTCTAGGAAATTCCTGAATTGCTCATAACAATTTCCCTCAGAGAGTGGAGGAAAGAATTGGAATTAACCATCTTTCACCTGATTTTGATTAATAGAAAACTGTTAATTGAGGAGATAAAAATAGCAGGAACTTTGAGGGGAAGTAACCATGTAATACTTGAGTTCTTGATTTGAAGAAAATTTAAAGCTGAGTGTAGTTAAATATGGACCTTGGACTTCAGGAAGACTGGTTTTAATGAACTCAGAACAATGATAACAAGGGTTCTGTGGCAGGAAAACCTAACAAGGAAAGAGGGTTGGTAGTTCCAGAAAAAGGAAATACTAAAGGTATAATCAGAGATGATCCTGATAAAGGGAAAATGGAAGACAGTAGAAGAAGCCATGTGGCTATACAAAAAAACTTAGCAATGAACTGAAAAAACAAAAATAACACACATGGTCAGTGGAAGCAGGGACAGTTTCTTGAGGAAGTGTACAGGCAGATAGCCTGGAATTGCAGAGTTGGTATCAAGAAAGCTAAAACTCCACATGAGCTGAGGTTGGCAAGAGATGCTAAGAATAACAAAAAGGCTTCTTCAGCTATGTTTAAAATAAAAGGGAAGTCCTGCCAGAATAAATTTATTTAATTTTTCAGCTGGGTAATTTCCTTAGTAGATTGTGGAAATGCTGTGAACATAATATATCTTGATTTTAGCTGATTTGCAAGCAAGTGAAGTATGGGCTGAATGGCAGTTTTGGATAGTTGGAGAGCTATATTCAAAGCATGTTCATCAATGGTTCTTCCTCAAGCCTAAACTCTTCAACACTGACTTGAAGGAGAAGGTGGGAGGAATGCTTATCAAATTTGCTGATTATGCAGTATGGGATAACTAATACCACAACGGGAAGAAAAACTAAGAATGGGCTTGATTTGTTAGAAAATTGGGCAGAAATTAGTAAAACTAAATTTAACAGAAGCCTATGCAAAATTCTTTAGTTAGGAATGAGAAATCAAATGCACAAGTATAAGAGGAGGGTATCTGGCTAAAACAAAGTACACGTGAAAAGGATCTTGGAGTCACCAATTGAACATGACCAATTGAACATGATTCAGTAGTATGATGTAGCTGTAAAGGAGGTAAATGCAATGTCAGGTTACATCAATAGAAAGCTTTTTTCAAAATCACAGGAATTTATCGTTCCATTCTGCTATAATTAGGCCTCATCTTGCCTATTAATTCCAGTTCTAGAAAGCACATTTTAAGAAGGAGTCAGATAAATCAGAATAAATTCAGCAAAGGCAACAAAGTTGATGAGGGACTAATGAGTAAGGTTAAAGGTACTGGGTATGGTTAGCTTTAAAAAGAGAAGACTACAGGGATATGATAGAAGAGAACAGCAACCTGTTCTCTATTATCAAAGACTGTAGGACTTGAAAGAACTGGCCTAAATTTGGTTGAACCTCAACAAAATCCTGGCAGTAGATCAGCCAGAACTTGGAACCAATTTCCCAGGGAAATGGTGGGCTTACCATCTCTGCAGGTATCCAGGTAGTGACTTGGGAGCCATCTGTGAAGGATACTTTGAGATAGATTTCTGCACTGAGCAGGCATTGAACCGAATGATCTAAGTGACATTTCCAACTGTGTGATGCTATGAATATAATTTTCCCATTTTGACTGAGATTTAATCCATTCATTGTACTACTAATTAATTTTACGAAGCAGGGCAATTTTAACCTAAAGTTGAACTAAGCAAACTGTGCCTGAGTAAAAAATGAGTAATCATAATAGAAACATAGAAACAAAGCAAGTCAGAAGGAGCCTCCCAGGCAATCTAGTCTGACCCCCGGCTCCAGCAGGTTCTGCTCATGCAATCTCTAACATGTGGTTGTCCAGTAATGAAGAGGTTAGGGTTAGAGTCTTTTTTGCACAGGACTTTTAACATTTTCTTTACTTCTTTTGCTTCCTCTATTCTTGATAATAGGCAAGCTCAGAGCCCACATCAAGTATGAATTTTATGTTGGTTTTTATTGTGATATACTGCACACCACCCAGAAAACTCTGGGAGTGGTTTATAAATGTAAATAAATAAATAAATTGAAGTGTAGGCATAGTTGGGCAACTACCAAGGCCAACATCCCAGCAGGGTTCCCTTGACAAGAGTCTGTATGATTGGCCCTTCCTTCCTGCTATGCAGCCTGCCTGTGCATCCACATCTTGCTCTGACTTAGGCAATGGTGATGGTCAGGAGGAGGAGGACCAGATGCCTTTACCTTCTCGCTCACTGACTCTCTACTTGTCAAGCAATCAAATGGTAGCAATGATGGGAGAAGGGACTAGGAAGTGATGACAGTGGCAGTGAGAAGGCTGAGGGCCCATTGAGGGTATTTGGCATAGACCCTCAAAAACCTGGGATCAACACTGGGCAAGTTTAAGTCATAGTTCTAATCTAAATTCTTATGACTCTTTGATCATTTCCTGACTGTTTATTGCTTTGCATGATACTGTATTGTATTCATTTAAATATTTTAGTGTATTTTATATGTTTTATGATAAATAAGCTTTTTAGTTATTTTTCAAAGATACCGACGAGGAGTGATATAAAATCATAAAAGTATAGTTCTTTCTATACATGTAACTCAAGAAAATGCATACTGCTGTTCAGGAAAATGGAAACAATTAGAAGAGCATACAAGATTCATTCTCTTAATAAACATAGCCTTTAAAAAACTGGATACTAAGGCATAGAAGTTATATAGATGAGGAAATTTTTCTGCCCTCTTTTTCAACTCGCTTTTGAAGTTCATTTTGACACTGAAAATGGACATTTATTCAATAGCATTTCCTTTGCCTATTTTTGTTTATTAGGAATATTGTAGCATCTATATTTGATTAACAGTAAAAGTTACTAAATATCAACTTTGTGGAAAGACCAACATGCCATAACATGTCCTTCATTTATTTAAACAGTATTTTCTGTTGTCATTCATATTCTTAGGTGAGAAACCATTTCGATGTGATGAATGTGGCATGAGATTCATACAGAAATATCACATGGAAAGGCACAAGAGAACTCACAGTGGAGAGAAGCCTTACCAGTGTGAATACTGCTTGCAGGTAGTTTGAGAAAGACAAAAAATAAGAGAAATGTTTAAAGGAAATGGTTTCAAATATGTGATTTCAAGTAAAACAGATTACTGTTTTAGTGAAATTAAGATAGTCGAAGTAATGGCCAAATCATGCCTATATTTTATTAGTTGATTTTAACATGTACACTTTGCAGAAACATGTACACTTTGTTTTAACATGTACACTTTGTTTTGTCTTATGAATATCATGTGCATTAAAAATGGTTTTGAAAAATGTGAAAAAGTATGGTTCTTCAGTAGGAAGAATATATGCCAATTCAAAAGCCAGTTTATTCGTTATTTGAAAAATATGCAGCGTTAATTAGGCCAGAAACACTTGGACAAATTAATAATAGTTGGGTAGGACTTTCAAAGTGTTCTCTCCTGGGATTCTTTCCCACAGGTATGGGCATGGCGAGCTGGCAGAAGGGGTGTTATGCATGGCAGAAGATTTTAATTGATCAGGAATAAAGGGTTGGGTTTTTCAATCAATGGAATTGTTTGAATATGAATGTTGACTCAGCATCTCCAGACATAGTAAGGTTTTCACAGTCTTATGTGGGAAACGTTAAAAATGAACATGCCATTGAAAACACTTATGAGATTTACCATGCCAAACATGAACATTGGCTAAAAAGCTGCTCTTTTGTTTTTCTTTTCTAATTCATACATGTCTTCTGCAGTTCTTCTCAAGGACTGACCGTGTACTGAAACACAAACGTATGTGCCATGAGAACCGTGACAAGAAACCCAACAGAAGTGCCACCAAAGTTGGCCTTTTGACTCCTGATGATGATCAAGGCTTCCCTTTGCCTTTGAAAGACAGCTCTTTGCCAAAGAAGAAAAGGCAAAAAACTGAGAAATTGAAGTCTTCTGGGCTGGACAAAGAAAGTGGGACAGATAAATTGGAACATAAGAAAGATAAGAATGATTTCTTGCCTTTGTATGCTGGCAGTACTAAAATTAAAGATGAATATATGGTTGCTGAATATGCAGTTGAGCTACCACATTCTTCCGTCAGTGGAGGGCACTTACAAGAAGCAAATTCTGGAGAAATACATCCACCTAAACTGGTGCTCAAAAAGGTTAACAGTAAGAGAAGCCTCAAACAGCCACTAGAGCAAAGTCAGACCATTTCTTCCTTAGCTTCTTATGAAGACAGCAAGGTTTCAAAGTACACCTTTGATCTTGTGGATAAACAAGGTCTTCTGGATTCTGAAGGCAATGCTGACATTGACCAAGTGGATACATTACAGGAAGGTCCCAGTAAACCTGTACACAGCAGCACAAACTATGATGATGCAATGCAATTTTTAAAGAAAAGAAGATATCTCCAAGCAGCTAATAGTAATAGCAGAGAATATGCCTTGAACGTAGGCACAATTGCCTCCCAACCTTCAGTCACACAGGCTGCTGTTGCGAGTGTGATAGATGAAGGTAGCACAGCATCTATATTAGATACATCAGGACTGAATGTGGAGATTAAAGGTAATCATGACAAAAATGTCATTCCAGATGAGGTACTTCAAACTCTTTTGGACCATTATTCCCATAAAGCTAATGGCCAACATGAAATCGCATTCAACGTGGCTGATACTGAAGTGACTTCCAGTATATCCATCAATTCTTCTGAAGTGTCAGAGGTCACACAAAATGAGAATGTTGCATCAAGCTCTCAAGGTTCCTCATCAGATAAAGCCAGTATGTTACAGGAATATTCCAAGTTTCTTCAGCAAGCTTTGGACAGAACTAGCCAAAATGATGCCTATTTGAACAACCCAAGCCTTAATTTTGTGAGTGACAACCAGACTCTTACAGGGCAACCAGCATTCTCTGCTATAGACAAACAGGTCTATGCATCTATACCTGTCAACAGTTTTCGTTCAGGAATGAACTCTCCTTTAAGAACAACTCCAGACAAGTCTCATTTTGGACTTATTGTTGGTGATTCCCAGCACTCTTTTCCCTTTTCAGGTGATGAGCCAAATCATTCTTCCTCATCCTCTACCCAGGACTTTTTGGATCAAGTGACTTCTCAGAAGAAAGCAGAGGCACAGCCTGTTCATCAAGCGTATCAAATGGGTTCTTTTGAGCAACCATTCAGGGCTCAATACCATGGAACAAGAGCTGGAATATCATCTCAGTTTAACACTGCTAATGGACAAGTGAACCTACGGGGACCAGGGGCAAGTGCTGAATTCCCAGAATTCCCCTTGGTGAATGTAAATGATGGTCGCGCTGGGATGAACTCTTCGCCTGATGCCACAACAGGCCAGACATTTGGCTAACAAAATCTGTAGAAATAACATTGGCACTTTAGCACAGGTCTGTTGATAGTGAGAGTATCCTGTATAAGATGGAGTCCTATACAGATTTAAGGCCTTGTGTTATAATAAAAAGTAAGCTGGTACAGCATATTGGTTACTTGGGGGGTGGGGGTGTTAATTGCCATTCTTTCTGAATTGCCTTATGTGGTCATCCACTGAAAAGGCAGATGGTTATTTGCTCAATTGAGATCAGGAAATTGCTATGTTGAGATTTAATACCAAGATTAAACAAACCAAAAATCCCAGATAAGGTATATCTCCTATAATAATTTCCTAGTTTGGTAACATTGATTATTTTTGGGAAATGATAATTATGAGTTTATTCATATTGGAATTTCCCAAATAGTTAGTCTAGCCATTGCACTTCAGCAGGGAATATGAATAGACTGTACAGACAAAATAAACTCAAACATTTAAATGTCAGGAGATTATGGCTAGACAACTATAGTGCATTCTGGGGGAAAATAACATTTTATTAACTCTTAAAAAGTAATATACATAATCCTTTTATTGGTTTCTTTCAATTTCCTTTTACTACACTTTGAGAAAAGTAATGATGTTTGCTAGACACACTCCCCTATTTAAATGTCCAATTAATTAAGCATACTTTAAAAGCAAAGTACCTACTATTAATGCATTTACTTCCTTCCTGAAGTATGGCATATTTCTTTGTACCTTTGAAGCTGAAAGTAACTTTTTATTAATTTTCCCCCCAGATAAAGGGTATCAAGATTGTTAGGTTTTAGCGAAATTGCTTTGTAGACTACATTCCCAGTTTCATAATGTTTATATGAATGGTAAAATTCAGGATTTAATTGTACTTCATTCTGCAAATCTGCAATAATTAACATTGGAGCACTTAGATTCTTTTCAATCTTTTTTCTTATTAATAAAACTATTTTAGATCTTTAGGCTCAATATGGCTGCATCATTATCACCTTACAGAAGAGGGTTTTTTTAAAATGAAAATTAATGGGATGCCTTAACATCCGCACAAACTGGATATTCTCACCCTGAACCTTTTGGCAATTCAATTTGATAGATACAGTAAATTACCCAACAAGTGGAAGAAGTAGACATTTTTGTTGCATATCTCACCTTAAAGAACATTTTTTCTGCAGTTTTGCCAAACAAAGCTGGTCACTAAGGGCAAGCGACCAAGATAGAAATGGTCAAATTTTATCTCATTTCACGTATTAAAATGTAAACTTTATCCCCCTCCCATGTAAATGTTTTAATAATAGATTGTCATGAGTTATACAGTGTGGTGCAACAATGAGTTCAATATACAGTTTTAAAATGGTGTGGTTTGACTTAACATAAATGTTGGGATAATTTAGCCATTTTTAAAATTGAAACTTTTTTCATTCTATTGTATATTCATTAATGGCTGTTTTAAGCTAAACTTTAGACAGTGTTTTACCGAAAGGCTGAATGACGGGTACATCTTTTCTGTTTCAAAAGATGTTAATCAAGTAGATAGAGAATAAGGATGCATATATTATTTTAGAACATTATGTCTGCCCATCATCTCTCACAGAACATACATAGGTCACACAACTCATCCATCCAAAGGATTTGGTTTAGAGAAATTCATCTGCAGTCCCCAGGAATTTCTCACTTCTAATTAAATGGAGCCCCTGATGTTGGCAGTTTTCTTTGTTCCATCAGTGCAATTTCAGGCCCATTTGAGAATATACATGTACTGAAAATGATGGATCACAAGATTCTCAGACAATATCATAAATCTGCATAAATTCATAGGTCACAGAATGCATAGTTATTTCTGTGAGACACAAAAAGTACGTCCTTGCAGTAAGGTCTTGTTACGTCCTATTCCTCAATTGCCCAAGGATTAAAGTGTTTATAGCAAAGTAAATGAATATAATCAAAATCTCATGTCCAAATAGCTCCGTTAGAGTACACTCACACATGAAAACTTCTGAAGAATTATTTTTTGTATTTTTCAGCTTTTTCATTTGTCTGTCCCCATACCAGAACAACCCATAACAATATACCCATAACAGAACAACTAGCTTGTACCGGTTGTTAATTTAAACTAAGCCTCTCCAGTGCCATGTTTGAGTACTCACCTGTTTTACATTTCACAGTAGATTGTATTCCAGAGAAGTAAGTAAGAGTGGCATGTGAGAGAAGCACATATTTAATAGTTGGGGAAGAACGGCTAGCAAAGTTAGAATACAAATGTGAATATGGCAAGACAAAGTCAAGTATGTAGGACCAAGGTGAAAATCTATAAAGTTATATAATCTGTAGGTACTTTCCTGAAAATATGCATTATGAAAAATGGAACAGAGAGTAGTGGAAGGAACTCTGGATAGGATCCAAATATCTTTTAATGTGTGTGGCCAAACATTTCTATACCCACATCAGTGCTCTACCCATCTGACAGCTTCTCGAATTTGCATTGAGGGATCTTGCATGAGGGACTGTGGTGGCAAAGGCAGTGGGGTACAGAAGCCCTGGAGAGTGCATAAAATACATCAATATCCCATGCATATAGCTCCACCTGTAGCTCTTGTGATCCTGCCCACTAAAATCATGCAAGAACTTGCTCCTAAATTGCTTCTTAGCTGAAATCAAGTTAATCATCTTATTATTTGCACATGTTAGGAAGCTATTTTTCTACTTGGTGGAATAATGCTGCATCAAAGTGTATTTAGGACCTCTCCTACCACCCGTTTAAACTTGATATATTTGCAATTCAGATAATTTAGGACACAGTCTCATGCATATTTAAGCAGAAAAGGTCTACAATTCCCAGCATTCACTGGCAAGCATGGTAGGCTGAGGAATGCTAGGAGGTGTAAAACGTTTAGCACATGCACGGGATTGCATCCTTTCATTTTGAAATGCAAATATGCTGCTTAAATATTTTTTTAAATTTCACTGTCTTTTTAATAGCTCATATTTTGTATTGGGATAAGTATCTCTCTCAACCCTGATTTGCTGTCCCATTTACTATGAATATAAGCAAGTTAATGAAGGAATTGGCTGTCGGGCATATAGCTGAAGTAGCCATTTTATCTTCTCTTGGTCTTAAAGTTCAGGTTAAAAGATTTTTCAAGAATGGTTTTCTGGAGAGAAACATAGCATCATATATACTGCAGTGCACTACAGTTTTGAAGAACAGTTGAGAAGGAGTTCTTTTTCATTTATGTTGGATTGCTTCTTCCTGCTTTTCCTGAAATTTCTTATTATTGCAGACTCCCAGGTAGGGAGGTTGCCAAGAGGGAACAGTTCAATGAAAGCCTGAAGGTTTGGTGATTACCAATGAGAATGTCTGAAAATCCCCACACAAGATGATCTTCCTTGCTTTTATTCAGTGGTGTAATGTCTTGTAGTTGCGGTCTTATGAAAGCCTGATTGTCATTTTAACCGAGCATTTTGCAGAACTTGTGTACAAATACTGCAAACTACACCACAATAGTCAAAATTAATGAAATATATAATTATGTCACATGCTTGCTTTTGTTTGCTTATTTATTTTGTGATTTTTGAAATGGTTTTTCAGATCTCTAGTGTGAATTAATGAGTTTAAAGAATAGCTATTGGATTTCATTTCCGTAGTTTCTGGCTTGTCTTCTAATTTCCATTTGGATACATACAACATATTCCATGTTTCTTTAAACTATTTTTTATGATGTGTGTATCATGTTTCGTAAAATATTTGAAGAGGATCCAGACGGATCTACGGTCAGCCTGCTTGAATATTTCAGTATTATCTTGCTTTGTATTTGTAAACTTGAGACCCAAACCTATGTTGGGTAGAAATTAAACTTTTTTCAAGTTGCAGGGGAATAGCTATTAGCTTATAGTTCAGAACTTTAGAAGGCAGAAATGTGCTTGTGGTCTGAGTATTTTGGTTGGTAAAAACTCGTATGTAATTCTTCTGATTGATATGATTATTAATAAAAAGCTATGTTTTTGTTTTGTTAAATTCTATTCAAAAGAAACCTTGCAACTTTTGGAAATGCTTTCATTTTATGTTAGTGCATGCTTGTTAGGTATGTAGCACATTTAACAACTCCTTTTGCAAAAAAAGAAAAAAAACATGTCCTGAGAAAGTATTCCAACTCATGAAAAACATCATTATGTTAAAGATTTAACTTTCATTATTTTTAAACAACTTTATTTCAGGGAAATTTTCTAGTTGCTTTTGCTATACATATATAAAAATCATTGTTTCCTCTTTTCAATAATAATAATTTTAAAAAGAGAGAGATCTTTTGGTAGCGAACTGAAGCAAGCAAACATTTCTTGCTTTCTTTATCCCAGTGGATGGAAAGGTTTTAAAAAAGTGTAAATGTTTATTTTATTTTTTTATGCAATATTGTTCTGTAAATATGAGTTATCAAATAAGGATGTACCTATGATTGAATCTTTGATTCTGCACAGTTAGAGTTTATATATAAAAATATAAATGTGTCTTGACAATCAAGGACTTACTGTCAGTCTTCCTTTATGACGTTTTATTAATGTTATGCATTCCATTTGTTAGACTTGAGTACCAATGTGGGAATTTGTATTGTCTGTAAAGTATGTAATGTTTTTACAGCTTGTTTTTAAACAAAAAAGGAAAAAAGAACCTTGTATATAAACGGATCGCAGTACTGCTTTATATCAGGAGGCATATGATGTACTGTATGTAAGCAATAATGCCTAACAGTGCTAACTTTACAAGTAGCATAAGGATAGTTCCAAAAACTGTTTGGGGGAGAGTTAATAGCTTTGTTTAAGTTAAAGTTTTTAATCAATAAATGCAACTTTTTTCTGTTTGTAGTATAACGTTGTTTACACAGCACACTCGAAATTGCAGGTAGAGCAGCCCTTAGATCTGTACTGCAGCTGCGCACACATTCATTATGAAACTAATGGCTTGGCTGCACATCTGCCAGATGAGGAAGACTGCAAAAATTAGTATTCATGTCCTGGAAGGATGGATGGGGCTTTATTTCCATACTACTCCTGCACCAATAGAATAAAAGTTAATGTGCAATCCAAGTCTTAATATGGATTCAATGTACATTGGGTTTGTGTGATACAGAATGGTTCTCTTCATAATTTGCATTGCAGTTGAGTTATTGAGTCATGGTTTATTTTTGCATTATTATTTTTGCAATAGGAATTACCAGCTGCTGAAATGAGCTTTATTCAGTTCAAGCAAAGCAAAACAAAAAACAAAACAAAATCAAGCTTAAGTTTGAACTGTGTTTCCAGGCTGTACAGGGCAAGAGTATGATTTGAAAACTATCATCATTGCTTTAGTGGGGAAAGATCACCGATTTATAAATGTATATGACCTACATTTTATAGGAGGAAATGTTTTTAAATGCTAGTCATTTATATAATATGTGCTTTGAAGGATTTGCTAGTTCACTTCTGCCACTTTTAGTACACTGGTATCTTTTTATATGTAATGTATGCTTTTTATTATTGTAGCAAAGCATTTCAGTAGAAGGGATTTTGCAACAGTGTTTGGGGAAAATTTATTGTTGGAAACTAATTATACTGGATTCTGTCTTTGTAGTTTTGTCTTTATTTTAATGGTGTCGGAAAAAGGACCTTAATACTCAAATAAACCCAATCTACATTTTTAAGGGTATACTCAATATATTACACTATTTGACCTGCAAATGATTTCAAAAATCTGATCATGTCAGGAAGAAAGAACGATTAACTTTCAACTAAAGTAATGCTTGGGGGCAGGTAAAGAATATAAGAATGCTGGAATGCATTTTCTGATAAAGTATTCCTTCACCTGGGCTCATGCCTTCTTAGGCTTTCACTTCATAAAGATCCCTAAAATACTAGCAAAGGAGATCTCTCTCAATGGTAATACAGTATTACTTTAGCATACAATGACAGATCTGTACATTTTACTGTGAGTGTTGATTTTTAAAGCCAACTGAATTCCCAGTTTAAAATCCAAGATGTGTATAAGTAATCCAGATCCTTTTGTATAAACTTCAAAAGTATGAATTTGTGTAATTATTTTGTATTTGAAATAAATTAGGTGATGCAGGATTCCTGAGAAATCAGGAATTTCATGATGATAAAGTGTGTTTGTGTGATGGTTGTGTATGGGCATACATTCAAAATTTGCATGAATTTTGTGAGATGTAGAGTTTTTGGTCTTATCTGCACCCCGGTCAAGGTTTTGCAAAGGATGAGCCATGCAGTTCTGAGGGGATGTGTGTACATGTTTTTGCACTCAAAGCCAATACTTGTATGCACTTTGGACCAGGAGGTGACTTTTCAAGCCCAGATATTCCAGGCCATGTAATATGCCCAGCTGTGCAACTAACCACTTGTGTTAACAAAAAGTAATTGGAATAATACGTATTTTCTTCAGAAATAAAAAGGACAAAGTCCAGCATTCTTTTACGGCCTTTTCCATGGATCTGTGTGCTCCCTGGCCTCACATCAAGCGTTCTATAGATTGCTTCAGCTATAGTGGCACAATCAGTGAGCTCTGCATGTGGAGCCCCCCAAAACCACAGGCTTGCAAATGAGAAAGACCTACTGATACATTCGAATTAAACTTTATCTTAGAGCTGGCTAGGGAGTGCTGGGAGCCGTATGATTTTTTTCTGCCTAAATATTCACAGGCTTGCACCCTTGATGTAGGAAAGGGATTTATCCTCAAATAATATATATATTTTTTAAAAAGTTAAGCATACCTGGATGAAATAATTGTTTTGCCCTTGGCACCATTTTGATAATTTGTCATATTTATCTCTCAACATAAAGCTTTTAAATACCATTTTAAAACATAACTGTAGTTTAAATGCAAAGTTTAATCCTTTGAAACAGGGATAAAATGGTGATTCAGAGGGGAGAAATGGGGTTGAGTCCTCCCTCTGACTAGCAACACTGAAGAGATCCAGTTTGCTTCCCTGGGTTGTCAAAACAGCAGCCATTCTTACCTCTGCAATAAACTACAGTGTATACAAAACGCTCTACATTCTAGTTGTTTGCATGATTGAAACAGTAGCAATTTAAAGTGCCATCCATATTTCATCTTTCAAGGACTGCCTTAAATTGTCAGTGATGAGTAACAATTGCAGAGCTTTCTGCTGAAAAATCTTCACCAGCTGTAGCCATCTAGTAAAATGCTATCTATTTAAATTTCTAATCTATTAAATTGTATATAGCTGGTCCCTCTGAGCTGAACAACCTGATTGTTGATGAACTAAAGTATGAATGATTTTACGTCTTCCAGTTTGATAAAGTGAAAGCTGTATGATCCCTGCTGAACAGTATATTTTGAAATGAGATTTATCCATTTAAGTGGTATGTTGGGTTTTACTGCTTTTTCTCATTCTTTATTGTGAATTTATTTTGAGTTTATAATGCCATTTTAAAAGTGTATTCTCAGGAATCAGGTTTTCTTAAATTTTAGTAAATGTATATTTGCAATAGTTGAAATTACAGTGTTCTCTCTGGCTGCTGGAAAATAAAAATACAAAATCCTGCTTTATGAATTAAGGTTTGCTGGAGAGATTTTTCATGGTAATTACTTTAAATCTTTTAAAGAATGGATGGCTGTTTTATGTAGTAGAAAATTTAACTTCATTCTTGATATAAAATGAAAATGTCTGAGTGCTCATAAGATATATTTATTTTCAAACTATGTGTACTAGAGATTATATGTGATATATTGATCCTTTTTATTTGTAATATCTATAGAAATGAAAATACTCAAACACAGCAATTTAATTATGCTTTTATGAGGGAATAAGCCCCAGTGAACACAGGAGGACTTAGTTCTGAATAAACATACATAAGATTTTATTGTAAATTATATATAAATTTGGTTGTGTTCATCTGTGTGGGTGAACATGTTGCTGATAGTATGGATTTTCCTTCCCTTCTGTAGCCCTCCAAGTGCCCCTAATATTGAGGAACCCTTCAGAGCAGATTTGGAGGGCATGAAGGTAGAGAAGGTGAACTCCCATTTCTCTTCATACATTGGGTAGAACCTTTTTTCAAACTAAAACAAAAACTTACAGAGAATCAGGATGCTATACCTTCTTTCTAATAAGATTTCAGCCAATTTTGTACATTTTACATTGAAGCTTGTTCTTCATATTTTCTCCAAACATGCAGCAGCTTTGGATGTGTTTCTGTTTCAGTTTCACCAGCATTCAGAATGGGTTTGTTGTCTATACTACAGAACATTTACTTTAAACAAAAATTGCATTTCTGTACACATTGACTTAATTCACAGTACATATATAAACATCAATTTTAGCTACTGAAAACACAATTCTACAACATTAAATTTATCAGATGCAGCTATCTTAAAATTTCAAGTCCTTTTCTACCATGGCATTCCAGAGTTCTAGGGCCACTGTTGAAGGGGACCTGTTTCTTACCCTATACATTTTATTTTAAAATGCATTTTATTTTCTTAAATATTTATTCTTCACACAGATCCTTAGATGGTATACAAACCTCTAAATATTCAGGATTGTATTCAAGAGTGGTCATCTGCTATCAGAATGGAAACCACTAGTGGAACAGTTTCCCCCTCTTACTGACTCCACCTGGCCCCCATCTGCTGTGGAGATAGAGGGGACATGCTGCAGCAGAGTCTCCATGCACGTGGGGGCCTGCAGGGGGAAGGACAGCAAAGGGAAGGCCCATTGTATAAGCAGAAATCTGCTTGTGAGTTTGGATTTTGGCCACGAGTACAATATGACAAAAATAGCAAATAACCATAATGCAGTAAAATGCAACAGTCAATCAAGAGAAGGGTGGAGAGACAAAGACATAAGGACATAAGAAACCCCATGCTGCATCAAACATGAGGTCCATCCAGTCCAGCACTTTCTTCACATAGTGGCAAAGCAGCTGCCCACAGGATCCCTCAGCAGGATGGGTAGGACCTCCCCCTGCCCAAGCCCTTTAGCAACTTGTGAGGGCAGGCAAGCTGCCTTTGATAACACAGGTAGCACTTAACCATAGAAGGCTTGTAGCCACTGATATTGCCTCTTCCTTCTCCATGAATTTGTCCAATCTCCTTTTAAAGTAATTGAAATTGGTAGCTGCCTCTGCTTCCTGTGGCACTGAATCCCATAGTTGAACTGCACAGTGTGAAGAAAACAGAAATAGAACAAAAATCCCTGCAATTAATGGACAGCTCAGAAGGCTAAGAAGGTCTTAACCTGATGCTGAAAAAATTGTAATGTTTGCACTGGTTGGGCACCTTTGGGAAGAGCATTGCAGAAATCGGTGCCACTGCATCAGCATGTGCCTGCTTTGTGAGTGCATGCATATGACGTTCAAGTGTATCCTCGTGTAGCTGGCATTGCAACGGATAGTCTATGAACCTGCCTCTGTCTTCTATGTAGGGAATGCAATGTCTTGCTCATACTCTTAGTATTCTAAAACACTTCCAACACCAAATCTCCTCTTCTGGGTTTGGTTCCCATCAGACAGATTTAAGATAGGTGGCAGTTTCATCTAAATCACAAAAGTTACCAACCAGCAACATGTGTGGACTCAGCCTTACTTTGTAAACCTCCATAGTATGACCTGGTTCAGATACTGTTCCAGAACTAACACAGGAAAGTTAGATGAAGTGTTTTTCCTCTCCAAATGGGCTCAATAATTATTTAATATACTTTTCCAGGCACAACTAACTCAAATTCACATTCCCTTAATTTGCTACAAAACACTGGATGGTAGTCATGGCAGACTCCAAGCCATGCAACTTTCCTGCATGAAAAAGGAGATGCTACAGACATGACACTTTCCATTAATTGGCCAGGATCAGGTGCCAACTGATGGGCAATGGAGCCAGTAGCTACTAACAGGCTTGACACCTCTGGGGGAAGCTAGAAAATGAAGAAGCTGTCATCTAGCCTCAGGTGTGTTCCAACTACCAGAGGGAGTCAAGGGAATGTGTAAAACGATAGATAAAAGCAATGGAGCAAGACTATTAAGAAAAGCAACAGCCCACAAATTTTTCAGCCACAGGAATATTAGACATTTCTTTGGAGAAGATAGAAAACCATGCAAACAATATTGCATCTGCAATATGAGTATCTTTGTTCCCATTCAGCCATCCATCAGACTAAATCGAATCAGAAGGGACTTCAGTAATCCATTAGTGAAGGACAGTAATTTCCAAACTATATGGTTAAGGATCTAACAACTTTTCTAAGAAGTAGTTAGAATGAGGGTGATGCAATGAGAAACTGGAAAATGAAAAAAGGTAGATGAAGTTTACTAATACTTGGATCCATTCATAAGAATGTGGGAATGATGCTGAGGTTTATGATTCCTAAATGCATATTTTTAAAAATCTTAATTATAGAAATTATAAATTTGCTTGAAGTTTACATACTTTCAACAATCCAGGATTCTAGAATTTACTAGAGTAAAACTAGTTTTAGTATTTACAATTTGTAAATTATAGTCAGAGAAAGATGGTTTATCAATTTAGAGCCATATTTTTCCAGCTTCAGCACTTATTATTCATTGTGGTAATTGATGAGTTGTTTTTAATAATGGGCCAACTACAGAAGAAGTAAGAGATAGGATAGGGAACTCTAAAACCAGACCCAACCCCCACCCCCCCCCCCCCCCCCCACACACACACACAGCTCAAAAGAGTTAAGGATCAAGAAGAAGTTGCAGATTTGGGTTAGTTTCTTCCACAAAATATTTCAGGAAGAGTCCCCATGAGAATAAGGAAGGCATTTCACCACCCATATACATTTCTAGTTCTTCACGAAATCCATACTTTGAGCGTGTTATTGTGCAGAGAGGAATGGCAGTCCTTCCAGGCTCCTCCAACAAGTTTATTTACAATTAGTGCTGCTTTAAAAATGTATGCTCATTTAGAGCATGGGTCCTCAAACTACAGCCTGCGGGCTGGATCCGGCCCGCCATGCCCATTTATCCGGCCCACCATAGCTCACCACGTGTGCGTGTGCACGTATGCGCGTGTGGCAAGGTGCCGGCTTGCTCACAAGGAGGTTGTTTTGGACTCATTCAGAGAAAAGGATCTCCTTGTAAACAAGTCCGGTGCCTTGCTGGGAGAACCTTTTCTCTGAGCGAGTCCAAAACGACCTCCTTGTGAGCGAGCTGGCCCCGAGGCACTGACTTGCTCGCAGGGAGATAGTTTTGGACTCATTGGGAGAAAATGATCTCCATGCACGCCTGCCCCTGCCTTTCTGTGCACGCACACATGCACACATGCCCCCCCCGGCCTGCGCCCCCCGCCCGCACCACCTTGGCGGCCCACACCCATCCCTGGCACCTTTCAACTGGCCCCCTATTCAAAAAGTCTGAGGACCCGTGATTTAGAGCAAGGATGGAGAAGCTCCAGCTAGCAGAAGTAATCTATGTTTACTGAAAGTGCAACTTTGAGTTAGGTTTTCATATATCTGAAAGTGAACATTATTACTTTCTTTTTTGATTGGTTTGGGGCTGAAATGGCAACTTTGCACTTGATGTTCAGTTTGATTTTTGAGTTCTAGGTGGAATATCAGAGTGTGTGAATGGGTGTGAGTGTTTATGTTCAGGAATAGCTCTGTGCACAAGCCTGGTGGTCATTCTTGGTTTGGGTTCTAGCCCTTTCGTTGCTGGCATGCACCCACCAAGAAATTTCTAAACCACACAGATAAAAGGGAAGTTAACCTTTCATTTAGCATTAATCTGGGTATATAGGCTAGCTGGTACTCAGTTTTCACTGCACCCAATTTTCCCTGTGACTACAAACAGTTTCCAGCTTATCCAGATTGCCAGTTTGTATTGTTTTTTCATTGCCGGAAATGAAAAAAGTTCCTGTACATCCCAACTCCTGTGCTCTGCTAGTTGTATCGAGCTGCATTATGCTTCACTGTCAATGTAGAGCAGAATGTGTGTCTTTCTGGAGTTCAGTTCCTTGTGGGCAGGAACCGGAGGAGCAGGCCTCTCTGCCAAATGGTTTGTTGGTTGTGCTTGTATCCTGGTTCTTACTAGCACTCCAGGGAGTATTTTGCCATGAGATCTACAAATGCAGCCAAAATGCCCTAGGCTGTTGTCATTCCTTGCTGATGCTGAATGTCTTTTATCACAGTCTTTCAGAGGATTAATTAAACCATTGATAGGGTAAATGATGGATTTGATGGGAAAGAAAGCACAATAATGGCTTTATAACCTTATCTTGATTTATGTAACTTATGTTAAATTGTTATCTCTGCATTTTAAAGAGAGTAAGTATCAAGCTACAGTTCTACATGAGGACAGTGAGAAAATAAAGCCATGAATAGGATAGAGTACTGAGAGAGAGAAACAGCCTAACTAACAAAGGTGTGTTTCAAGAGTCCATTGGGCAGCTGAACAGGAAAACAAAAAAGTTGGCTGAAATTGTCCCCTATACACTCATCCTCTGTTTCTTCTCATCTGCTGTGAACTTGACCAAATGGCCCTGTCTCACAAGCAATGTCAGGGATCCAAGTGCCTTTTCTTTCTCTTTGATGCCTTGCTAAGAT